CTCACTTCCCATCCCCTTTTAGACGTGTTTTCCATTCCCTTTTAGAAGATACGGCCCATTTTCCGATGTCAATTATGCCTGCAGTGCCTGATCCTAAGCTGATAAGGGAGGCCCGGTGGGCATCAGGGTCGGCTGGATCAGCACTTGCCTGCAGCGCGTTCTCAGAGCTGGTACAGAGGCGGTGCCACAGAGGGGCCCTGGAGAAAGCCCTGCACAGGTAGGCCCGGGGTCTAAAGACTGGTCAACGGCAAGGCGGCCATGTTGCTTGATGGGGTACTTCTTCAAATGCAAGTGAGCTTGATTACGTTGTGAAGACACATGGGAGGGGGTCCAGGGAAGGTGTGAGGCCACCTTCCCCAGGGCCCTACGGGGACCGCTCTGTCCTGATTCGCACGAGAGATGGAACCGGTTGCCCACCCTCCACATTGCGGGCGTGAGCGTAGGTGGAAGGCGGGAGGCAGAGCTGTGGGTTCCGTTGGCTGGGTGTGTGGAGAGATGACCTGTGTCACCGAAGGGCTCAGGTAAATGTGACTGGAACTAATGAGAATGTAATTGCCCCGCCGGGAACTGCAGGGGCTCTGGAGGCCGCAATCTGGTGCTAATAGAAACATGCAAAGGGGAGCACTGGCCGGAAGAAGCGGCCACTCTTGTACTTTCCTGAAGGTTCTGGTTTTGGAAAGTTCTTGGGTGGGGCGATGAGAGGTGCCAGGAAGTCCCTCTTAGACTGTCTCAGAACTAGCCCCTCCTTTACTCCTAAGTGCGGACAAAGTGGAAAGATGAGGGCTGCCAGCTGGGTGGCCTGGCGGCCGCGGCCAGAGCTCCCATCTTCTTGGCGGTCCCCACCTATTGTCTCTTGCCACCTGGCCATGCGTTTTGATAAAGCTGAAGGGAAGATAAGATGACCTTGACACACTCTAGTCCAATGGTTCTCAACCTGTGGGTCGCGACCCCTTTGGCAGTCGAACGACCCTTTCACAGGGGTCGCCTAAGACCATCCTGCATATCAGATATTTACATTACGATTCATAACAGTAGCAACATTACAGTTATGAAGTAGCAACGGAAATAATGTTATGGTTGGATCACAACATGAGGAACTGTATTTAAAGGGCCAGAAGGTTGAGAACCGCTGCTCTTGGCCCTGGCCTGGGAATGCCACCACCTAGTGCCCAGCTCCCCCCCACTTACTGGAGGCCACGCACTAAAGCTGGTGGCCAGGGCGCGGGCCGCAGGCTCTGCGAGCTCGGGTGGTGTCCGGCACCCACCCCACATTCCTGGGGATCTAGATTGCGACTGAGTTTGTTCTGTGAGAGAGGAAAACCCGTCTATTGCTCATCCAGAGCCAGCCTCCAGGACCACCTGTGGGTGACAGATCCCCTGAAGGCAGCAGATGAGCCAACTTGCCTAAATGAGCATTTTCTTCCCTGTGTGTGTGGTGTGGGGGGAGGGAAGAGGTTCGGCGTGGCCACTCTGCTACATGGACCTTTAAAAATACAGATCCCCAGGCCCTCAGATCTGCTGATTCTGTCTCCAGGAGTGGGGCCCAGGGTCTGCATCCTCATTAAAGCCTCCCTCCCCCAAACCCACTTTACAGAAGGGGCCTAAGGATAATTCCAAAATGGAGTCTTCTTTGCAAAGGCTGCTGGTGAGAGTGGAGGTTGAGGGGTGAGCAACCACGTTGATTTGCATGAGGGTGGGAGGGCAGAGAAGTTTCCCGCCACCTTGAGACCTGCTCGCCAAAGAACTGAGGCTGTAATTATACATGCAAAGTGAAGCTGGGGTTTCAGAGACGTATCTGGAGAATTCAAGTCAGAAGAAGCACGTTCGTCTGAAATACCTAGATAATTAAAGAAAAAAATATATTCATTGCATAAATTGCTCATTAATTCACTCCTCTATGGGGGCATGCCGCTTAAAAGCAGGCGCCTTGATTAATCCAAGCTATATGGAATCCTCAAGAGGCCCTTTTCTCTCCCTGTGCCTGCATCTTCACACTCCCTTCCTCTCTAAAAAATCATAAATGAAGTTGTCCCTTTGCAAAAATGTGTTTCAGATCTACCAATGTCCTCTCGTTGGTAGAATCAATTTAGGTGCGCTTTTTTCCCTTAAGCACACATTTTGAAATCAGATGCATTCTTTCCAGTTCACTGGAAATGCTAATTTTTTTCCCTTCACATTTTGAAGTTACATTGTGTGTGGCTGAGCATGTAAGAGCCTGCACAATAGCACTTCAGAGTGACTGAGGAGGGACACGATCCCAATCAGAGGGAGAGCCGGGGAAATGGTTAATTTCACAGGCAGGCCACTGATTGGGAGAAGAATCTATAGAATTATTTATTTCCTTAAAAAAAAAAGCCCTGAAAATTCAAAAACCACTTGGAAAGAACAAACGTCTAATCCTGACGGGTTGATTTTTCAAGACCCTCGGACAGTGGTACGCAACCTTGGCTGCACATTAGAATCACCTGGGAATCTTGTTAAAATCCTGATTTCTGGGCCTCGTCCTCCGGACATCCTGTTTCTTTGTTACTAATGTTGTGGCCCCACCCCATAACAAAGAAACAGAATTTCCGGGGGACGAGGCCCAGAAATCAGGATTTTAAAAAGATTCCCAGGTGATTCTCATGGGCAGCCAAGGTTGCGAACCACTGCTCTAAGAAGTGAAATTTCAGCACGTCCGGTCCCCACTCATTCCCCGGCCTGCCTTCATCTCGACCTGGGCCACCTGCTGCCTCACCCCAGCTGCTGCTTTTCTGGTCAGCTGTGTTACTCGGGTACGATGGCTTCTCTGTCGTCTACCTGGCGCTCCTGCCCCTGGTTCTGCTCTTCCCCACACCTTCCCTGGCACTCCGGGAGGCAGGCCGGATGACAGCCTCCCACAGGGACCACGGTCCTCCGCCGAACCCGCCTTTAAAACCATAGCCTTTTTATGTCTGCTGGCTGGAGCGAGAACGCGTCTCTTTAGTGTCTTGCTTGGGATCAATATTAAATACTCCGCACTGCCTTGTTTTCCAAAGCTATGGCGGCCCACAGACATCCTGGGTCGGAACACCCTGCGTGGAAACAGGGAGGCGGACAAATAGAAACCATTTGCAGGCGCGTAGGGACACTTCTTTCCAGTCGGTTAACGCACTGATAGGTTGTTTTTACTGCTCGGTGAAGGGCCCGATCCCCAGTCTGGGGATTTTATAGACCAGTAGGAATAATCAGCGGGGAGATGGCCACGCTTCACTTTACCAAGGAAGGGCACTGGACAGCAGCCACCTTCCCAGGAAAGGAGCAGCACCTGGGTGCCCCGAGGGCCCGGCTATGCAGGGGCACGTCCACCGCTGTGCGCCTGGCACTGAGGCCGCCCCTGGGCCGGCGGGTCTAGGCACTGGGCATGGGTAATGCCCCCAAGCTCCGCCTCTGACCTGAGTGCACCCAGCCAGGTGCAAACATTCCACAGGACAGACCGGTACTGAAGCACTGCCCATCGTTTGCCTGAAATCCCAGTCACCGGTGGGATTTATCTGTGTTTTATCTGCTCCTGAGACGGACCAGCTCCTGCGTGTCCCCTCGCTGACTCCCAAGCTGACTCCCTGCCTCGCCTGGGTCCCTCCTGTTTCCTGAGCCATGTGTGAGTCAAATAAATGTAAAGTTACATGTACTGCCTCTAAGTTGATTTTTACATAATAAGCTCTTCTGATTACAATAGAAATCCATGCTATTATTAAAAAAAATAAAATCCTCGCTGAAATGGATATTAGGGGACGTGTTGCGATCTGGCTGCTGGATACCACCTGCCTCCCACAACTGTCTGGGTCAGAGCCTCCTGTGCCCACACGTGAGGTCACCCACGTACAGATGCTGCTGTCGTTTCTGGGTTGTGATCTCCTGAGATGGACATCTTCGTGCCTCGGGACATTAGATTGGCTGTGTTCTGGACTGCTGCGTGCCCGAGCTCCGATGCCACCACCCGCGTTACCACATCTCGGACCCGCTTACTCTGATTATGTGAACTGAGGAAGCTGGTCTCGCTCTAACTTCTTTCCACCAAAGCAATGCCTGTGCGTTATTTACACATGCGTCAGAGCACCTGAGTCCTTAATGCTCACGGGAATGAGGGTCCTGTGCCTGCCCTTGGTCCCTACTCTGCTCCTCCGGCCATTTCTTCACCTGGTTCTAACCAACATGCTAATGTGGATGTTTCTGACTTAACACTGGGGGTCTCGGGCCCCCCAGTGCTCTGTGCTGGAGCCACCGGTCAGCAGCACTTCCTGCCACCATGGAGACGTGCTCCATCAGCATCACCCAGGGCGCAGCCACCGGCCAGCGTGGCTTCTGAGCACTTGAAATGTAGCTCAAGCAACTGAGAAACAGATGTTTCATTTCACTGAATTAAAATGAAATTTCAAAGACGAACACTTGACTCAGTTATTGGAAAACTTTAAAGTTTGTTTGGAACAACTCGGGTGAGTGGATCTGTGTTTTCCACTCTAAATTTTATGGAATTAAAATACAGGTCAAGTACTTCCGATGAAAAGTTGGTGTTCAAATTGCAAGGCTATAAAGAGCAAAACACACACCAGGTTTTGAAAACTTGCTGTGGCCAAAAGAACGTACAGTATCACAATGGTTTTCACATTGAGAACCTGTTCAAATAGCAACGTTTGGGTGTTTGAAGTCATCACTCACGGCCCCACCCCCACACAGAGCGGCCTGCCCCAGAGGGTGAGCAGAGCTGTGATTTCAGGGAGGGGTTCCAACTCAGGGGCCCAGAGATGCCAGAGGCAGGGCTTCCAGGGCCCACAGCCTCGGTCAGCCCTTCCGCGGAGGCGTCCCTGGCGGCAGGCGCGCAGGTGGGCTCTGTGGGCAGTGGGGGCTGCGGAAGCTGTTTTCCTCCAGAAACGAGAAGCGCTGGAGGTGCCCCCAGGAGGTCAGCCAGCAAGAGCGAGGTCCTGGAGCTCCGCTCTGAGCTCAGACGTGGGGCTGCAAGGAAGACCAAGACCAACAAGGGGTACAGGCCATGCCACCTTGGACTTTATTATTGAAATGTCCTGGTGGACACAGTAGCAGCAACAGTAAGAACCAAGCACTTTGCATGATCGCCATCCTTGTTCGACAGACGAGGAAACCGGGCCACGGGGAGTGCCACCCCCTCAGTACAGCCCCATCGCTGGTGACACCGGGCGCCAGTCCTGTTGTCTCCTTAGCGGGAGGCCTGCTGGGAAAACGTGCCCGCAGCTGAGGTCAGACAAACCGCTGGGGAAGGCCCAAGCTCAGCCCACCGGGATGGCGCCAGTGGCCGGCCGCCCCTGCCTGGCCCTGCCTGGCAGGTTGTGATGTTTCCTGGGCAGGTGTGGCGAGGGCTCGCAGATGCACGGCGGCTGGCTGGCAGGGGCTGCTCATCTCACAGGGGCGTCAGGGCCCCCAAAAGCAAATAACTTGCCCAAGGTCACACTCCCAGCTCCCCGAGGCCGGGCGAGAAGCTGTCCATCTCGGAAGAAATCGTCTGTGTGAATGATTGTCCGCGCCACTCGCTCCAGGGTGATGACACTCCGCTCACCTTGGCTGGACAGGCCCATCCTTTATCTTGTATCTGCGTCTGTGCACGCCCCCGCGACGACAATGGGAGCCCAGCCCAAAGGCGCCGGCAAGGACCTGTAATACAGGGAAGGGAAATCCGTCAGAGTCGTCTCCATCACATCCCTTCCTTCCCCCTCAGGCAGCTGGAGGAAACGGCCTCACACCTGTCCCAGAGTGCCACCCCGGGCACCAAAGTCCCAGACCAGGACCTGCTGGCTTCACTAAAAACACAAAACCGAAGCCAAGCACACCTGCGTGCCCACGCCTGGAGGTGGCCGCCCAGAAGCGTCCTCTCTGCGTCAGCGCCACCACCCGAGGCCGGCCCGGGGGTGGATGGGTTCCCGGCCCCGTGGCTCCTTCCACATGCCACCCAAGTAAGCACCCGACGGCCGACTCCGGGACCGTGGGAACTGCGCTGCCCTGTCCAACAGGTTCCGGCCCCTCCCGCACAGCCCCCAGGGACCGATGTCCACACTTTATTTACCGCAGACGGACACGGCCCCTGTTCCTCAGCCCGCTAATAAGCCGCGGTCGTTCATCACCCGCCTGCTCCTTTTTGAAATTCACCGAGCAGCGGGCGTCTCTTTAAACGCAGGCACATAATGCATTTTAAAGAGCATTTCTGCACAGATCCATTTGCTCGGCCTCGGCGCGGAGCGCGAGATGGAATGGTGTTTCAGCGCGCACCTCCCGCGGCCTGTTGGGAATGCATACACCGAGATGTTATGTGGCTCTGGACCGCCAGGCTCCTGGGGGAGGCTGTCCTTAACACTCGGGCTGAGTGACGGTTCTGGCAAGACCCCGGCATGGGCTATGGGGGCTGCTAAGCCTGTAAGGGTGGGTCCTGTCCTCCAGAACCGAGCACCCAGGCGGGGCGCTGGGAGGCGTGTGTGAGAGGGGACCGGTAGGGCAAGAGCAGCAGAGTGGGAAGCCCTTCGGTGCGGGGAGGGGCTTCTTGCTGCTTGGCCCTGGGAGATGGGCGCTGGTGTCTCTGCGCCTCACTTCACGCCTCCGTGAGGGGTGCTGGGAAGCTGGTGCGCGGCAGGATGTCCTGTAGGAAGAGCTGGCGTGAAGGATGGTCGGGGTCTCTCGAGTGGAGGTGGGAGAAAGGTCATTCCCGGGTGCAGAAATATCCCGGGCGAAGGAAATCTCTCTCGATGTGAAGGCAGTAGCTCTGGGCTGAAAAGGACCATTGGCTAAAGTGGGGGGTGCAGCCAGATGCCCTCAAGGCCCTCTGAACTCACCTGCCCCAAACCAGACTCAGGATCTCCCCGACTCTGGTCTCCTTCCCAAAAGTCCTGCCTCAGTGGGTGATAGCCGTGTCCAGCCAAATTCTGCAAGTTCTGTCCCTCACCCTCCACCTATAAAGACAGCCCTCTCCAGTCTCCTCCCCAACCCAGGGCACACATCCCCCAGCGCTCCCTGGGCCTCCGCACTGCCCCACTGTGCCCACAGAGTCTTGTCCTCTAGTCTGTTCTATACCCAGCAACTACAGACATTCTTGTCAGTAAATCTCCCCGCCCCCACGAAGCCTGCAGCAGCTCCCCGTTGCTCTTCGGATAAAGACCAGTATGTTCCACTTTGCTTCCCCCTTCACTAGGCCTCACTATCCTTCCTTCAGCCCAGTCCTCACTGCTCCCAGAGCCGCCCCGACCTCTCTGACCTCTGATCCCAGCCGTAACTTTGCATGTGTGCCGTGCGTGCGTGCGTGTGTGCCGTGCGTGTGTGTGTGTGCCGTGCGTGCGTGTGTCTGTGCCGTGCGTGCGTGCGTGCGTGCGTGTGGTTCTTCAAGGTCTCTGCTCCCAGACCGGATGGCAGAACAGGGGCTATTTTTGTTCCTTGCTGTATGCGGGGCACATCACAGACCCTGAATGATGGACGCATGAGACCTTGAAGTTGCCAAGGAGTTTAAATACCGCTGTGTAGGCCACAGAGGGCCCCCCAAACGGCGGTGTATGTTGGGGGCTGTTGGTGCTGCAGATGGTGGGGAGGGTAACAGAAGGCAGATACCCTCAGATGATTCTTTCAGAAGCGCAGCGAAGAACAGGTGAGACGGAGACCAGGCTAGAACAACAAGAGCTGCGCAGGGGCCATTGCAATGCCTGTGGTCCTGGAAGGTGGGAGCAGCCAAGTTCATGGGGCTGATGAAAGGAAGGGGCTGGTGGGAAAGACGCAGGTTCTGAAACAGGTGTTTTAGACACCACAACTCTACCAAGCAAGACACCCAAGGCCCCGGGGTTTCCTTGGCTTCTGCATAAGTCCTCACCAGAAATGTCAGGGTAACAGGCCCCCGCCCCGCCCCCTGCTGCTTCCGCATGCCCAGGCCTCATCAGGCGTCCTGGGAGTGCCACAAGCCCTCGATTTCAGCCTCCCACCCAGGCACCAGGTCCAGCGGGGTATACGCCAGTCATGGGGGCCTGCCTGTGTGCATCCATCTTCTCTCCGAGCTTCAAATTCCTCCTCTGCGAGATGTGGGGTTGGGGGAGGGGGCAGCATGAATCCTCTACTCTGCACCCAGGGGCTCCGCGGGTGTGGGCGTAGCACAGGTGACTAGAGCCCAGGCCCCCAGGATGGGTAGACCCGCCTCCCCAGTCCCCGACAGCCCTGCACTGGCCACTGCAGCCCCCGCGCCTCGGACGACAGGGTCTCTGAAGGAAGCAGAAGCCGGTTTCCTCTCCTGGCCCCGGTGACAGCATGGAAACTCATGATTCATGTCCCAGGGAGGCTGCGGCGAAGCAATAAAGTTGTCGTTTGTTTTCCACTGCAGAGTCTATGCATTTTTATTTTGGCTGCTGCGGCGGCAGCAGGTCCTGGAGAGGTGATGCTGGCAGAGGCGAAGAAAGACGCTCAGAGGGAAGGCTGTGGGGAAGCGATGGTGAGGGTGGGTCTGGGGATGGGCTGCCTCTGGCCCCAGTAGCTTCCCAGGACATTTCTGTGCATATTTTGAGTTAACCTGATTCATCCGGGCACCACAGAGCCTTAGGGAAAGGCGAAGGCACCCCTGGCCCAGGCTGCTGGCCCCGATAGCTTTCAACGGGCTCACAGGTAGTGTCTCAGGCAGCCCAGGCCACTCCCAGAAGCTCATGCAGGACCCAAGGACAGCCCATGGCCCAGGAGATGCCATGTTGGCCAATAGCTCTTCCGGCACTAGCTTTTGTTCTTCAAGACTTTGATCTAGAATTCTCTGGGCCTGGGTGCATCTGAGCCGCAGCCCCCACACTGAAAACAGTGATTCCCCGGGGGGGTGTGGTGGAATGAGCAGGGGTCTTGGGGGAGCCCCTCTGACCCCTCGGGGTCCTAAGAGGCCACTACCTCCCCAGCCATCAGGCAGGGCTGGGGGTGGCAGGGAGGTCTCCAGCTGGCCCCCATACCCCCTCGGCCTGATCTGCGTCTCTCAGTGGCAAATCCAGGGGCCCTCACAGAGAGATGGGGCTGTACAGGCCCAGAGAACCCCTTCCTGGCCCACTGCAGTCCTCCGTGAGGCCCCAGAGCCCCATCCAGAACTAGACACATGGGCACTTTGCCCCAGATAAGCCAGAAGTCCCGATTCGCAGGTAGGGAGAGCTAGTGAGTGTACCAGAAGCAGGGAGAGGGAGAGGCGGACCTGCAATGCCACCCCAATCGCTCAACACCCCCCCCCCAGCCCCGTGGCTTCCGGGCTCTCCAGGGGGGCACTCTCCACGCTGGGCTTGGCTGTCCTGCCGGTGGCTTTCCGATGCTGGGTGTCGCTCCTGCAGTCCCACTTGCCGAAAGGCCCCAGTTCTGCCAGAAAGCATGACTTCTGGGAGCAGGAGCAGCGGGGCAGCCAGGCGGAGAGCGGCCCCCAGGCTCCTTCTTGGAAACCTGCAAAGGAGGAGGTGTGGTGAACCCAGGACTGCGTCTGCCTGAGTGGGGTGGCGGCCTCGGGCCAGTGGGGAGCGGGGCTTTACCAGTTGGCTCCAAGCTCTCCGGGCCCCTCTGCAGCGCTGCCGGCGCCTCCAGTCTATGGCGATGCCTCTGGCAGCTCCAAGGCTTCGAGTCAGTACCTGAGTCCAGGGAGGGGGGACCATCAGGACTTGCTTCCAGACCCCTCCTGCTCCATCGGGATCCGGAGCCCATGGACTTGAAACCGCAGGGCGCCTCACCCACCCCTTGGGGTTTCGTTCGACCCTCGCAAACCATCCACAGCCCACACCCTCGATTTCAATGCGAGTCAGAATCTATACCAAGAGCAAACGTCCCAGTGGCTCACTGAGAGCGCTGGGCCTGCTCAGGCCACAGGAGCCACCACCCACCTAAGCCCCCGGAGTTCTCTTTCAGATGGGACTCCCGGGTCCCTGGAAATGAAATGCTATTCGGTTATGAGCAGAAATGGCTGCAGGGCCCCTGGAGGACAGTCTCTTTGTCAGGTAGGACCCAGGCCGGACCTGCTTCTGCACCGCGAGGCTCCTCTCCTGGGCCCCCTCCCAGGTCAGAGCCGGGCCCCCAGCGGTTTGCGGCTGGTGCTGACTGTGGAGGTCCCATTGCTGCCTCCCGGCTGCTCGAACCCTTCAGCTTCATCACTGTGGTGGAGACTTGCTGGGACCACTGGCCGCATAGTATTCCCATTACATGGAAGGCACCTCTGACAGGCACTGCGGTCCCCGCGGAGCCTTCGGAGATCCTGCTAGTAGACTCAGCGGTGGGTTCGCTCAGAGGATGAGAATGAGACTGACTTTCCATGTGCTGAGCCATCCGTTTGCAGGTGCTCTTTCCACGTTGGTGGGGAAGGCGGGCCGGGCGTCCTCGCAGGGTCCGTGGATGATGGGGGTGTCCTGCTGCAGAAACTGCCCGGCGGGGGTCCTTTGTTTTCAGGTTTGTTTTTTGTAACAGAATGAGCTTTGTTTGTTTTGCTTTTTGTTTGTTTTGGGGGCTTTGTTTTTGCTGAGCCGCCTTCAAGGCTCACGTGCACAGCAGCTGCTTAGTTGATGCTCTGTTTGCCCAAGGACCTGTTTTATTTTTGCTTTTACCATTCTGTACCCTCACTAAATTAAGACGCTGGCTGTGAAACTTGGCTTTGAAAAGTTTCCTAATTTTCAGACTGAGTCACTAATATGTTAGAATATTTCGCAGAATTATTATTTTAAGAGGCTGTACGTTGCCAAAGCGATACGTTTTCTAACTAAGAAAAATTAAGCAGAGGCTGCGTCTTCTTAGGGCCCGAATCTGGTTTTCAGAGCGAACCCAGCAACATTCCACATGCTCTGTGAAAAGCGACACGAAACCCCACAGCTTGGTTCCTTTTCTCCCCGGGGCTGTGGAGTGCTCGTTTCTGTCAACATTATACGGTTTGTTTTTGAGTTTTACTCAGCTTGCTCACATCCACGTTGGGAGCGGAAAGCTCTGAAGGCAAAGGGAAGGTGCTGTGAGCTCACCTGCCCCGCGGGGGCCGGAAGCCACCTGGGAGCCCATGTACTGGGAGACGCGTGACACTGACCACATGCCTGCTGGATCGTGAGGACAGAGCTTGGAGAGAAACATTCTCTTCTGAGGCCTCCCTCCTGGGCCCCGCTGGGTCAACTCGTGGAAGGGCATGAAGGGGGAAGATTTTCAGAAGCAGTTGACCAGGTTGGGGACTGGGTTGCCATGGTGATGTAACATGAGCACCAGCCCCCACTGTATTTCCAACACAAGTGCCCTGTGATCTGTATCCCCAGCAACACGAAGGACACTACTCGCATCTCCTGGCAGTAGCTTTTCTTTAGACTCTTCCTGTGGGGGTTCTCCGCTGAGGGCCTCAGCCCTGCACTCAGCACCAGCCCAGCCGCACCGAGCTCCTCCCCTGCTAGTCTCAAGCTTTAAACCAGGGTGGGGAACCTTTTTTTTTTTTTCCCCCCAAGGGCCATTTGGATATTTATAACATCATTCAAGGGCCAAATAAAATTGTCAACTTAAAAATTAGCCGCGGTATTTGGTCAAACATTTAATTAACTCACCCCTAATGCCTTGGCAGGGCCAGACCGAATGATTTCACAGGCCTCATACAGCCCTCGGGCCAGACGTTCCCCAGCCTTGCTTTAAACAATCCCAGCAGAGAAGGCATGCCCATCACGGGGGGCCGAACTAATGATGGGGTGTCTGGGCAGCTCCTCATACTGAACGGGAAAGGCTTCATGGTAGATTGCCCAGTGAAGAGAGCAGGGTGCACAGCACTGTACACA